AGGCCGCGCACGACGAGCTCAAGCGCGCCGCGCCGGCCCACTCCGAGGACGACGTCCGCGGGAAGCGCGGCGACATCGACGCGCGCGTCGACGCCGCGACGGCCGAGATCGCGCGGCTCCTCGACGGCAAGCGGCGGGACCTCCTCGGCGACGCGGCCTAGGGTGTGGGGCGCCCGCCGGGTGGAGAGGGCGTTAACGGGCCCGGGGTAGTGCCCCGGGGGGCGGCGGGGCGGGGGGCGGTGGCGGCGGGGCACAGGCGGGGGGTCTCGGCGGCCGCGCGGCGCGCGCCTATACGTCCTCGACCTGCGTGCCGTCGCCCGTCGCGTCGTGGGCCGTCTCGGCGTTGTCGGAGGTCCAGAGCGTGAGGTTGTCGCGGAGGAGCTGCATGATGAGCGTCGAGTCCTTGTAGGACTCCTCGGAGAGCGTGTCGAGCTCGGCGATCGCGTCGTCGAAGGCCTGCTTCGCGATGTGGCACGCGCGGTCCGGCGAGTTGAGGATCTCGTAGTAGAAGACGGAGAAGTTGAGGGCGAGGCCGAGGCGGATGGGGTGCGTCGGGGGCAGGTCCTTGTTCGCGATCTGCGACCTGGGCAGCAAAAGGGTGCGATTTTCCCAACTTCAAAGGCTCCTATCTCGGTCGTTTTCCGCTCGTTTCGGCTGATTTTTGGACGAGCGATCATCTCTCGGGACGGTCTCGAAGCGTGGACGCTTTTTTCCGGAACGCGCGCGCGCGGAACACTCACGTTGAAGCGACGTTGAATCACCCTTGTCCTGCCCTGTCTGCGACGCGTTCTGGTACGACTCGAGCGCCTCGGAGGACGACGTCTTCCGTCGGTCGGGCGCCTGGAACTCGGCGAGGTAGCGGTGGTAGTCGCCCTTCATCTTGTAGTAGAAGACCTTGCCCTCGTCGCCGACGGAGTTGGGGATGAGCACGTCGCCGATGATCTGCAAAATGTCGTCGCAGATGTTCTCGAGCTCCGTCTCGATCTTGCGCTTGTAGTTGGTGATGAGCGCCGTCTTCTCGCTGTCGGACTTCTGCTCGATGGAGGAGATGACGCGCCAGGACGCGCGGCGGGACCCGATGACGTTCTTGTACGCGACGGACAGCAGGTTCCGCTCCTCGACGGACAGCTCTTCCGTGTAGCCCGCGACGGTCTTCATGTGCTCGACCTGCGCGGCGCGTGGGCGTCGCGGGCGCGGAAACACGCGTGGCGGGGGGGCGGGGGGGGCGGGGCAGGGCGGCGGGGGGGGGGCGCCCCGGCCGGCCGCCGCCGGGGGGCGGGGCGGCGGCGGACGGCGGGCGTCCGCGGGGGCGGGGGGCGATGCGGCGCGGCGCCCCGCCATCTCGTCGAAACGCTCGGCCTGCTCGGCGAGCTTGGCCAGGTAGACCAGGTTGTCGCGCTCGTTG